AGCGTGCTTCAGCTCATTTCTCGTCCTTTTTGCAGCGTCTCACCACCGATGAAGGATGGGATAAGTTCTTGCAGTCCAAGGGCTTGTCTCGCAAGCAGTGTGACAATATCGTCGGTGGGCTCAATGATGCTGCGCAGAAGAAGTTTAAGTGCACTCCGTTCGACGACCCGATCGGTACCCCTGCCGCTGCGGCAGATCGGCCTTCTGTTTAGCAGGAAGGCGCAGAAGGTTTGGTCGATCATCACCGCCAACGTTGGTGGGCAAGTCGGCCTCGACGCGCACCTGTCGGAGTCCATCTACAGTGATGTTCTTTTGATGCAGGAGTCCCGCATGCTGCCCGCTGCCTCGCAGGCTCTTGAGTCCAAGATGCGTGCTGCGGGGTGGTCGGCTTCAGCTACGGCTGCGCTTCCCACAGCTGGCAATCCGTCTGGAGGGCTGGTTACGGCTTCAGTTGCTCGTGTGGGGATTGCTCCGCTCGAGAATTTCGACAGTCAGATTGTGGCTGCTCGTGCAGCGGCTTTGCATGTGGGTGGTATGTTGCGTGGCGGCTTCCCCATTGTCAACTTGTACCTAGTGCACTCCGTGGGCATTGACGAGCAGAACTGGGCGATTCTGTCGCGTGTGGGAGCTCGGCTCAAGGCTGCAGGCATGCCCTTCATTGTCGGTGGTGATTGGAATTGCACTCCAAGTGATTTGGTCAAGACGTCTTGGGTTGACGCTCTCGACGCAATCATCGTTGCGCCCACTGAGGGTACGTGCAGGCCCGCCATGCGCTGCATCGACTACTTCGTGGTTTCGCGCCAGATTGCAGGTCAGGCCAGGGCCGAAGTTGTTCAGAACGTCCCCATCTCTCCCCACCTCCCTGTTCGGCTCGTCTCACCGTCAGTCGAGCCCCTGTGTAGCGTTCGTTTCGTGCAGGTCTCTAAGAGGTTCCCCGCTGAGTTGCCCATTGGGTGTCTTGGGCCCCCTCCCGAGGTCGACCCCTGGGACCACGTCGGGGAGCTCTGTTCGGACCCTGATCTCCTGATCCAGGATAAGTGGGACGCGTTTCTCAGGGCTGCTGAAGGTCAGCGGCTGCATTTGTTTCAGATTTCTGGGGGCCAGTGCGACGAGTATGTTGGGAGGGGCAGGCCGCTCCAGGTTAAGTGGAAAACTCCGCCTGCCCCCAACCCCCCAGGTTTCCTAAGTTGTCCCCATCTCGCCTGTTGGTGGCGTAAGGTTCAGAATGCGCTGGCCGATCTCAGTAGGTCGCCTGCTGGCGCCCATAGGTCGCAGCTCGTCGCAGCTGCTGGGCGTCTTTCTCGCTTTCACCGTCTACCAGAGACGGCTGAGGTCGCCGCTCGGACGGCGATGCTGAGGCAGGTTTTATTCCTCCCGGTGGAGTCGGCGCGGTGCCTCGCCGACCTCGCGAGCCGCGAGGCGACGAGGCTCCAGCAGGCCTGCGCTCAGGCCAAGGAACGTGCATGGGGGAATTGGGTTGACAAGCATTCGTCTGGGGGCATGTCAGCTTTGTACAAGTTTTCGGCCCTACCCACTCCCTTTCAGCATGCCTCCCTCTGTCATGGCACCCTTCGACCCTGCACGTCGCTCGAGTCGATAGAAGCTCTCGCAGAAGAGCGGAAGCGTTGGTGGCAAGTCGGAGTTGAGCACCAGCCCCTCACTTGACCTGAGCTCGGGGACCCCCCTCCGCGGCCCACTGTGGCCGAGCTCGTGCGAGCTCTCAAGTCTTTCAAGCCCTCGACGGGCACGGGGTTTGATCAGATCCCCCCTCGCTCTCTTCTGCTGTTGCCGCCTGTTGCTCTCGAGGCTCTGCGTGATATTGTGCACCACATTGAGCATAAGCGAGAGTGGCCCAGCATGTGGAATCGCATCGTGTTCATTATCAAGAGGACGGGTGGCGTCAGGCCGTTGGAGCTTTTGCGCGTGTTGGCCAGGGTCCAGTGTCGCCTGAGACGTCCTCTCATCAGAAAGTGGCAGGCCGCCAACTTCAGGGCTTTCTTTTGGAGCACCCATGGTAAGGCTTCCGAAAAATGCGTTTGGATCCAGGCGGCCTGGTCGGAGCATTCCACCTACAAGGATCGTGCGTGTGCCACCCTTTTGCTCGATTTAAAGAAGGCGTTCGAGTTGGTTCAGCATCATCATTTGTTGGCCGCTGCGGCGGCCACTGGCGTTCCTTTGTGGTAATTGTATCTCTTGGTTCAAATCTACCGCGCTCCGCGCATTCTCGATGTTGGGGGTGCTGTTGGGTCTTTGCTTTGTGTTGAGCAAACGATTGTGCCAGGATGTACTTTTGCCACTTGTATGCTGCAGTTGATTCTCTGAGGCCCTTTGGACGCCGTGCAGGCCGCCTGCCCTGCTGTGCAGCTGTCCGTCAACGTTGACGATTTTGGCCTCATGCGCTGGGGCGCCGAGTCCCGCGTTGTCGGTGACATCACCGCCGCAGGCCAGCACCTGCTGCAGCAGCTGCGCCAGGTCGACTTAAAGTTCGCTCTCGACAAGTCTCGCGTTTTGAGCAATTTCCCTACGGTTCGCGCTTCCATTGCAGCCAAGTTGAAGAGCCGTCGACCCCTGCCCGTCAGGTCTGAGCGCAATCTCGGCGTGGGCTACGGCTCGGGCAAGGTTGCTAGTCGAGGCACGGTTCGTGAGCGTGTCGCTTGTATGAGGCCTAGGTTGGTCCGAATGGGTTTCCTCAAGGGCACCAAGCCTCGTCGCCGCGTGCTCGGGCGCATGGCTCGAGCTGCTCTCGAGTCTTCGGTCCTTTTCGGAGCGCCCGTTATGGGTACCAATGGGCAGGAGTTGGAGGTTCTTCGAGGCGCGGCTGGCAAGCTGCAGGACCACCGTCAGGATGGCAAGTCTCGGACCTTGAGCCTTCTTCTCTCCCCTGTTCCCCGATTGGGCCCCATCTTTAGAGCCACTTGGTTGCCCGTTAAGTTCTACCCCCCATGCGCTCTGGCATCGTTGGTTGCCCCATGAGGCTCTGGATTTCGGGCTCCGTGAGGCCCACAGGCACCTTTCTAGGCTGGAGCACCCGTGGTCCTCCATTAGGGGCCCCTTTTGCGCCCTGTGGGCCTCGCTCAGGCGTGTGGGCATCGTTGCCACTTCGTCCACGTCCTGGATCTGGCCTGATGGGGCCGACGTCAACCCGATGAGCTACTGCCCCGTCACTGTTCAGGAGCTCGTGTTTCGCGCTGTGGAGGCGTGGCAGTATTGTAAGGTCGCGGAGCATCTCGAGGTTGAGGACTTCGCCAACGGGCTGATCTTGGGACCCCTGAAGGCCCTCCTTGGCAGCAAGAGTAAGTTGTCGGCCCAGCAGCAGGGCCACCTCCGCAGCACGGCCATCGGTTGGCAGTGGCCACAGAAGAGGCAGTGGGCCGCGGGTTACGACACGACTCCCTCATGTCTGCTCTGCCCCACGCAGGAGGGGGCCCTGCTGCATAGGCACTGCTCTTGCTCTCGCTTAGACAGTCTCGAGGGCAAGCCCAGCTTTTCAGCTGCAGCAGAGGCTGCTGCCACTACTTCAGTGCTGGCGTCGCTCTTCGCCGAGCGCTGTCTTGTGCCATTCCCTTCTCTGAGCCGCCGTCCTCCTGGGTCTCCGATTTGTTGGGGGCTTGGAGGGCCCTCGGAGTTCACGGGAGATATTTACACTGACGGATCTGTGTTCGAGGCTCAGTATCCCAGTCTGGCCAGTGCGGGCTGGGGGTGCGTTGCATTGCATCAGGACCGTCAGGAAATTGTCTCGTTTTGTTCAGGACCGCTCTTGGACCCACTGCAGTGCATCAATGCTGCCGAGCTCGTTGCTGTCATCAATGTTCTGCGCTTCGCGACTCCGCCTGTGCGTATTTATACGGATCCTGCTTTTGTGGCTGACGGTTTCCATGTGCGTGGCCCAGAGGCTACCCGTGCCTGTGTCTCTGCGCACGCTCATCTCTGGAAGGAGTTCTGGAGGCTGGTGGATGACTGAGGCGGGGGGATTGAGATCAGCAAAATAAAGGGTCATGCGACCCAGGTTGACGTGCAGACAGGGCGCGGCACCTCTGCGCGTCACCGATACGGCAGTGCCAAGGCAGACGAGGCTGCCAAGAGCGCTGCTTCCTTTGCCAGGGTCCCAGAGGCGGCCGTCGCACAGCTTCAGGCCCGTTGCAAAGTCTTGCATGTCTGGGGCTCCTGGATTGCGCTTCTTTCAGAAGGGCTCGAGGACTGCGGGCACCCCAAGAAGCATGCTCGTGGTTTGCCCCCAGTGCCCCGCTTGGTTCTCGTCAAGGATCCCGTGGCCACCGATCTGGTCAGTCGTGTCCTTGCCGCGCAGGCGAGCTGCTCGGGTAAGGTGCATGCCCTTGCTAAGTTCCAGCTTTCAGGTGGACCACTTGTGGTCGGCTGTACGCGTTGCGCGTGCTTTGCAGTGACGAGGCTTTCTGGTTTAGCGAGCCCGTGCCCACCCGAGGTCACTGGCCACGCTCGCAAGACGTTGAAGAGGCTTGCGAAAGGCGAATTCCGACTCAGTGGCAAAGTCTATCGAGTTCAATCCTTGATCAGGCTCCACTGTCCTGGCGGCCACGGCGGGTGTCTAGGTTTTCTACGCCGGTGGGCCTTCGCCTGGTCGAGGGAGCCGCGTCCGCCCAGTGGGGCCGAAGGCGGTTGCAAGGTGCGCCTTCGGCCCTGCTTTCACTGCTGGTGGTGGACAGACTCTGCCCGCCCCCAGGTTGTGCCGAGGAGGAGGAGCAGGAGGAGGAGGAGGAGGAGGAGGAGGAGGAGGAGGAGGAGGAGGAGGAGGAAGGGAGGAGGAGGAGGAGGAGGAGGAGGAGAGGAGGAGGAGGAGGAGGAGGAGGAGGAGGAGGAGGAGGAGGAGGAAGAGGAGGAGGAGGAAGAGGAGGAGGAGGAGGAGGAGGAGGAGGAGGAGGAGAGGAGGAGGAGGGAGAGAGGACGAGGAGGAGGAGGAGGAGGAGGAGGAGACGAGGAGGAGGAGGAGGAGAGGAGCCCTCGTGGAAGCTCCGGGGGCCCAGGCGAGTGGTCGGGCGACGACACGGACTCGGACCCCGAGGCCCGCACGGCGAGGGCGGCCCCCGCGCCGCCGCCGGCCGACGTCGTGGAGAGGCTGCGCTGCTACGGCTTCCTCGCCCGGAGCGCGGGCGCGTGGACGGAGCAGGCCGTCCCGGTGGTTCGCCTGCGGGTCCTCCTCCTCCTCCTCCTCCTCCCCCTCCTCCTCCCTCCTCCCTCCTCCCCTCCTCCTCCTCCTCCTCCTCCTCCTCCTCCTCCTCCTTCTCCTCCTCCTCCTCCTCCTCCTCCTCCTCCTCCATCCGCCTCCTCCTCCTCCCCTCCTCCTCCTCCTCCTCCTCCTCCTCCTCCTCCTCCTCCTCCTCCTCCTCCTCCTCCTCCTCCTCCTCCTCCTCCTCCTCCTCCTCCTCCTCCTCCTCCTCCTCCTCCTCCTACCCCCTGGGACCTGCCCCCCTCGTGCGGGCCTCGCCACGTCTTCATTCTTGGGTCGCCGTCTCGTCCGGGCAGACCTACCTTTCCTGCGGTTCGCCTGCAGGCTCCATGCATCGGGGGCGGCCAAAGGGGGGGGGATGAGGGCAGACACATGGCCGTGGCCGTGGTGCGCCCCCAGGTTCTTTGCAGCACGCCCCAGCTGGCCACCCCGCTCCCCCGCGCACACGCCTCTGGCCGTGGCCTGCGGGCCCCCCCCCCGCTGGACGCCCTCCTCTTGGACGCTCCCGCGTGGAGATCCTGAGACTGTGCGGGGACCTCCGAAGACCTGCGCGGACCTCTCAGAGACCTCGGGGGGCCTCCCAGGGTGGCGGGGGCGTTAGTGGGAGAAACACATCTTGTCCGTATCCGGGGCCTCGCGGGCTGGGCCCCTGGGCCGCGACCCCGCGGACACGGGGCGTTCTGTTCGCGGATGCCCCGCGCGGAGCGAATCCGTGCGACCGCGCATCCGTGGGATCGCGCCCCGGAGTCCAGACCGCGAGGGTGTGGATGTGGACACGTTCGCTGCTCTTGAGGCATCGTCGCGGA